GTGAATAGTTACCAAACCAATGACAAAGATATCATTCAAAATACAAATTAGTAAATTCGTTAGAATGCCGGTGTTATTTATTACCTTTCTGCAAAACTGATGAACACTCCTTTCTTGAATGTAGGTTGTCCTCAACCCCAATTCCTGCAGCTTTCGCTCCATGGCTTGCCCAAGGTGAAATGCACAGCCGTTGATAGCCAATTCTGGATACACACGCCGTAATGCTAGCCAGATACCTAAATAAATAAAAAAAAAAAATGTGTTGATGAAGAAGTATATGCGTGTGTTAAGTAATATGAATACATAATTGTTAGCAACTATGTTTTAATTTACAGGGTAAAATGAAAACATACCGAAAGCTAACATGAACATAGGGGTTAAGAACGTATACAATGGAGAAAAATAGGTCATCGGTAAAATAAACAATACAATTTGTTGGCTTGGCTAATATTTGGAAAATAAAAATATTATTATTACTAGACAATATAACAACAAATAAAACTACTACTACTACTACTACTACTACTACTACTACTACTACTACTACTACTACTACTACTACTTATGCTACTACAACTACTACTACTGTACTAACCTGCTTCAAAGTCTGAAACAATCTCTTTGACAACGGGAGGAGACGGGAGAAGTCACTTCAATGCTTTGAATACCTAATTACAAACAAAGAAGATCGTGATAAGCTACTTTAATATGCAACATTACAAAATGAAATAATAATATAATAATAATAATAATAATAATAATAATAATAATAATAATAATAATAATAATAATAATAATAATAATAATAATAATAATAATAATAATAATAATAATAATAATAATAAATCCAATACTAAATAGATAGAACAACATTAACATAAACTGAAATAGAGAGCAAACGTAAATTGTATAATACCTGACGACAAAAAAAGGAATGAAGCAGATGTCATTAGTAACCGTCAAAGGTTTGTAAGAGCAGGGACAATTAAAAAAAAATGTATGCATCCATGAAAACTATTGGATGAATTTTCAGACTCCTTTTGGCTTAATGACTGAATAAAAGAAACCTCGTGTAAGTATTAATAAGTACAATAAAAACAAATAAATAATCAAACACGTGAAATAATGATAGGAGCATATGTTAATTGTAACCGACAAAGGAGAGTAAGAGCAGGGACAATTAATAATAATGTATGCCTCATTGAGAACTATTGAATGAATATTCTAATTGATTCTTTCTAATTCTAACATTTGAAAACTATATCATTGGGTACGAAACGACCATCACCTTTGGTACAAAACGACCAAGGCGTTAATATGAAATGACTATTGCTTTTGGTACGAATGGACTCGTTTGGGTACGAAACGACTTGGGGTACGGAATGACCAGTTCCCGTTACGGCTATGCGACAACCCATGAGACGACATTCGAAAGGTGAATTTGTAAGAGTTTTCTCCCTGTTAACGTTTGAAGAAATACAATGGACGACTTAGTCGATTCCCATAGTAAACCTACGCATATTTACGTTTATCCTAAAACTTCAATTACTTTAAAGTTTGTGAATGCTCACGATCAAACCTATATTTATGAACATAGTCCTGATGACAGCTTCTGTGCAGAGCAAACCATATGAGCCTCAGCATTTTCGGGACGTCTTTGAAACATATTTCAATTCTACACCCAAGGAGTCAGGTGTTAACTTTCAGTAAAGAGTATAATGACTGAAATTCCATCAATAAAATATTGTTTCTGGTTTTTCAATTACAACTTGGATAAACTATAGCAGCATTATTAAACATTTTCATTTTAACTTGTTAATGGAAATTTATAATCAAAATTTTAATTCCATTTTATATGCTTTGTAATTAAAGATCAAGTTGCAGCACTGGTTAATTTCCGCTTGCCTACAACTGAGTTGTCGTGTCCTTTCGTTCCGACTTGTTTTATCCTTAGCGGGTGGGATTTGACTGAGGACATTTCTTAAAAAGGCGGTCTATTTTTAGTAATAGCTTATGCTTTTCGAAAACGTAACTTACTTACATTCAGTCCTATTTGCACACTTACTCAGACAGGTTGAGAATTAATTAATACATACAACTATAGCGGTCAACACGTGCGTGTGTGACCAATAAACTACACAGGTATACACACATTTCAGCTTTTCAGAAGTCGTACCAATATTTCCTGCATGGCACATCAGACACTTTGGAGAAAGTGTAAATGTTGTTTATAATAATTAAAATAATAATATTCATTTTCTAAAAGGATATGGTGGGTTTAGAATAAAATTTTCTTAAGTGAAAAATAATTTTGCTCATTTATTGAATGTAATCTCCCATCATACTACTATAATTTCTTTCATCTGAGTGTTCATATTGTACTCAACATATTATAAACGTTTTCAGGGCTCCAATTGGCAGAGTAGTCTAAAGAGCTCACTGTTACCAATAACTGCTATATCATCTCTATCTCCGTCTGTGTGGGTTTGTGTCTCTTGCTCAGCCATTGCAGATACGTGTGAAAGCTTGCCAGGAGCTTTTCTTGGGTCAGTGGTTCCTTCAGGGGTTTTCTCGAGTTCATCATCCACCATTCATATTATCCGCCATGCTATTGCCGTGCTTATTTTATGAAAAGACTTTCTTTCATACATGAATGCTTAATATTTAGACGATTTTGATTAAAGAGTATTTCTGATTTTAGTTTTTCACCCGTATTTCTGTTTTTGTTTTCCATTTTTTAATCTGAAAAACGGGGTGGGGTGGGGTGGAGAGTGAGGGTAGGTGAGTCAGCAAATAAGGTTTGTTTTTGTTAACATGGATATTGTATTTAAGTAACTCTAATGACATCGACCTTTTCCTGTCGAGAAAATTTGGAACTATTCAACAGTTACCTTTTCTATTCCATTATCAAGGAACGTATAAATTATTCATTCATCCTTTTCTTTCAATTGCATGATACATTTATTTGATCTATTTTGGTTTTAAAAATATTGATAGATATAATTGAAAGATAAAAAAGAAGTAATTTATTGACACATGAAGAACGCGCCTGTGTAAAACTAACATAAACATCATATTGAATATTTTCAGCATCAAAGTCTACATAGTTACATTTTTAACACTTACATTTATCTGACGTTCAATGTTAGAATCCATTTTATTAAACTGGGTTTTACGACAAAGGTTTTTGATCATCGGGCAAAGTGAACATGGTTAAATATATACAGTAATTCTTATATTTAGTTTGATTCTCTAAACTTTTATGACATTAGGATAGCTGCTTTAAAGTAAAACTAATGTTTAGACAGCTTTGATTTATGCCACTGATTATCGATTTAAATCATCGAACTTTGATTATGCCACTGATTATCGATCTAAAATCATTGAACTTTGATTTAGGCCACTTATTATTGATCTAAAATCATCGAACTTCGATCTATGACACTGTTATTCGGCTTAAAATCGAACTTTCATTTATACCAGTTATTATTTATCTAAAATAGAGCTTTAATTGATGGCATGGATTATCGATCTAAAATCGAATCTTGATTTATGCCAAGGATTGTCGATCTTGATATCATATGTGCAAAAGGTTTACATACTTAAATTCCGTTTATTAATTAAGGTACATGCTCTTTCTAATTAATGCACTTTTGTTGTGAGGATAATTTTAAATGCAACCTTGATTTTTATATTAATTTTCAATTGCTATTTATGAAACGATACATGAAAAAAGTTTTTCCATATACAGGAAATTTGCATACAGAGTTTACTTGACAACATAGGAAGTAGCGCTTTGATTTAATGCAGTAATGTTTAATTTCCGAAAGTTTGTTGATTAAAATCCATCATATTATTGACAAGTTATAACTAATGTAACCTATATTCGTTATTAAACTTGCGAGTTGTCAGTTTATTAGCTGATTTGTCAAATGCAGCCTGTGGCATGGTAATTTAATTGATTGAAAAGAAAATGGCGATGCTTGATCATCTTACAGCTGCCAATGAGTGTGTAATTTTGGACAAATTTAGTTGATTCGTTCCAACAGCACCGTGCCGTTAATGTCTAAACAGTTCGGTGATCATCTTCAACAACCACTCCTTTGTTTATACAACTATCATGCAAACGGAGAACAAAACTTTTCCATCCCACCTACCGACAGAAATTCTCAATTGTTTATGTGCAGTGTTGCTGTGTCAAAAATATCCTATTTTGACGGTATCAAGAGGAGGTAATTTTACAAGGATCTACTTTACCTTCCTAAACGGTGAAATGTGTCGTCCGTATTTTCTCAGCTATTATCATGCAAAGTTCCAGTTTTATGTCAATAATTTTACAGCCATTAAGGAAGTGTCAAACTGGGTTAGAAACTCTGCTAAATAAGACATTTGAAAGTATACAGAAAGGGGGAGTAAACCACTGAAAATAACAACAAAATCTGATGAAATTTCAACTAACAGTTTTCAGCTAAAGTAATTATAAACCAGCGAAGGTATTTATATGGTTATTGGCAAATGCCATTTTGCTTCGTATCCCCCACTTGAAATTCTAAGGGAGAAAATGTCGCCTCAAACTTCACCGTATGTCTTTTGCCCTCATATCACAAGTTTTATAGTTTATAGTCCTTTAGATTTAGAAAGCACATTATTATGTGTCTAATATTACAGGTCAAGCAGGGAGTGCGGCCAGTGAATGATGTTTTTCGTGTTGGCCATTGGAGGTCCTTGGACAATTTTATAGGGAATTGTGTAAAACTATCTACTTAGGGTATAATTCTTATAATTTAAATTCTTAATTTTAAAAAAACGAGTTGATGTTTACAAGAATATTAAAAGCTAGTGTAGATTTGGTAATATTTAAACTTTACTTATTTAAGTACAAATTGTTACTCATATAATGTACTGGAAATGGCTAAAATGTTGCATAATCATAGCAAGACCCAATTTTCCTCTTTGCTTACCTCTTGAAATCTTTTCACTCGTTCTCAAATTAAAGTCCGTTCACGTGGCCTAGTGGTTAGAGCGTCTGCCTCGGATGCGAGAGGTCATGGGTTCTATACCCGGTCGAGTCATACCAAAGATTTACAACAATGGTACTAACAGCTCAAAGTAAATGTTTGCATTGAAATAAATAAATAAATAAATAAATAAATAATAATGTAATAAGAATAAAAAATATTTAAAGAAGGTAATACAATTAGTTGCATTGAACTTTACAGTTTTATTGATTAAGATTACAGAACTTGAATTTCGAATTTTTTCACTAAAGAAACCTTGGCTCTACGTTCATAGATATCTGGTAACATTGCCTTTCAGTGACAGATACCGTTTCTTTTAGCCACACACTGTTAATGAACTGTCAGCCCTTATATGATTGCTATTACGTGACGCTGGGTTAGATAGTTTCGTGTTACTTCTCTGAAACAGCAGGAGTTAGCCAGTACAAAAAGTATTGCCAAACATTCTAAAATACGTTACCTTTCATTCCTTGGTTTTTGAAATTTGACATGAACAGAAAAGAAAAGAAATATATCTTTATTGGCTTGAACTGTACCGTTCCTCGTCGGAAAAAATCAATCAAATCGAAAATATGCAGCATGCTTTGAGTAGGAAAAATACTATCATCTTGAAGGTGTTTGACGTTTAGCTCACAATTCGAGATAATGGGCCGTTCAAGGTTTACCTACATGACAAAAAGAATCATCAGAACACAAAAAGTAACTAATAAGACACGTGATATAACGCAATCAAAACTAAAAATGAAAGAGAATAACATAACTAAATTTTTGAATAAAATTAATAAAAATCCTTATGATATACTGAAATATTTGCAATTTGTACAAACGACCACTCCCGCTCATTATATAGACATTACAAGATGTGGAAATGAAAAAGCAAATAAAATATCTCTTTGACAATGCCAACATATGAAAACCAGAAAATCTCGCTGACTCTGCCAAGAATGAAAAGCAAAAGGAACATCTCGATAACCAGGTCAACAATGAAAAATGCTACATTTCGCTGACTTGTTCAACTTCTCGCTGATTCTGTCAACAATAAAAAACACTACATCTCACTAACTCTGTCAACAATGAAAAACAAACAGAACATCTCACTAACCCGGTCTACAATGAAAAATACTACATTTCGCTGACTTGTTCAATTTCTCGCTGACTCGGTCAACAATGAAAAACCTTACATCTCACTATGTCAACAATAAACAAACAGAATATCTCGCTGACTCGGTCAACAATTAAAAACATTACATCTCACTAACTTTGTCAACAATGTTAAACAAACAGAACATCTCGTTGACTCTGTCAGCAATGAAAAGCAAACAACATCTCGCGGACTCGGCCAACAATGACAAACACGACATTTCTCTGACTGTCAGCAATGAACGAAAGCAGAACATATCACTGATTCTGTTAAAAATCCCCCAACCCCCACGATATATTGCTGACACTGCCAATGACAAAATATATTCAGAACATCTCGCTGACTATTAACAATGCAAAAAGAAATAGAACACATTGCTGGTGCTGCCAATGATGAAATATATATGCAGAATATCTCGCTGATACTATTAACAATGGAAGACAAGAAGAACATTGACTCTGACAAAATTAAGTCTGAGCAGAAGATTCAACTTGGTTTTCACTAAAACCAGAAGGAGAAAAATCGAAGACAGGAAAGTTACTTGTTGCCATATGTCCATTTTATGAAAGAATAATTATCCATAACAATTCTGCATTAATACATCTTTATTAGATCAAACATAGAATTAGCATAGGATTACTAAATAGTTAGATATTAAATGGGTATATATTAGTAAAGATAATGCAAACTTGAATAGAATGTACAGCAAACTTATATGAAAAGAAGGAAACAATATCAGAAAAAATAAAATATATAAAATAATCTCTAATCAAAAAGTTTCTCTCAGTTGCGACGAAAGAGATGGAGATGTCCTCTTCATTCACTGTGGATAATGAAGTATTTAACCGAAGCTTTTTGAGACGAGGAACTGAAGAGAACATTCTATAGATAAGAGCGAAGTGTATGGCTTAAAAAGGCCGTCCTTAACACGTTGCCGCAAAACTTAATTCCGTTTTAAATGTTGAGCCAGACAACAATTTAATTTGATGATAATGTTTCATGAACAATTTATTGTTGTTTGAATATTTTAGCAGCCTTCAGAGCAGTGTTTGGATCAATTAACAGAATGTGTTCATTTTTTTGCTAGCTATCATCTAGCACACGCTTAAATAGGTCTATCTCATCGAAAAATTGTAAAATCGAGGGTTCGCTTGCTGCGTGGTTGCGCCGTTAAAATCCATTAAGGCGATGTATCAGCAAGACATCGCTCGTCATGAGTACATGAAATGGCCACCTTGTTCATTTAATCGTTGCATGTTAAGATTATATGATCTCTTCGTTTGATGCACAAAGATGATGCCATTAGAACAGTGGCTTGTATCTTAAAACTACGTTTTTCATGTCGTCATACACAATTGTGATTCAACACTGATGTACAAAGAATATGTATCCATTAAAACAGCTTAACTCGTCACTATATTTATCGACTTGTTTTAGTAAAATTTTACATGAGCCAATTTGAAAAATCACGTTTTGTATGTGAGTTTGATGTTTATCTAACTTCATACTTACAATTATTAAGCACACACACACATACACACACACACACACACATATATATATATATACACACACACACACACACGGATGGAAGGATGGATGGATGGATGGATGGATGGATGGATGGATGGATGGATGGATGGATGGATGGATGGATGGATGGATGGATGGATGGATGGATGGATAGATAGATAGATAGATAGATAGATAGATAGATAGATAGATAGATAGATAGATAGATAGATAGATAGATAGATAGATAGGTAGGTAGGTAGGTAGGTAAGTAAGTCTGTCGGTATGATGAGTATTTGAGTTTTGTTTATATTTATCGAGAAGACTTCTGTATGCTATAATATTTTGAAAATATAATTTTGTGATAAAGGACATATTTTCATTGTTTAAGACTTCACAGCATGAGTCAAAAACATTCAAGACTTTGATGTGAATATTCTAGATTGTTTTAATTATTTGGAATAATTAAGTTTGCTTAAGTAGACGGGAAATTTTTTAGCTCAGTTCAAAATGCCGGACTCATTGTTCAGGGATACGATGCGTCCACACTCTCCATCAATACTCAGTTTCCTGTAATCAATCAAAAATTAACCTGGAAATGTACATGTTTGTTAATATGTGGTATAAATAAAATATATGCATAACACACACCTATCTCTGAGATACCACTCATTGTATAAATAAATACCCAAATTAAAAAGTTCATTATCTGTTGAGTTAATTAAATTGTTAAAATGCAATATATTTTGCCTTCTATGGTATTTATATTAAAGGTTTTCTTTCAGTGTTTAAATCAGAACAATTTATAATGTAATGAAACTGACTACCTATATCATTTTCGTTTCACTTGTTCAAAGGAATATTTCAGAATTGACCAGTTTCAAACGGTGGTTTGATGTTCTAATTTTGAATTAAATAAAGCTAAGGTATTTGGGTAAGGAAATTAAATATTATTTCATCTGGATGTTTGTTTTAAAAATTCCATTGTCCATTGATGTTTCCATAGCTAGATAAAGTTTTGATTAAATATCCGTTGGTCTATTCTTCACACTATTAATGAGTTATTATTCAAAGATTGGATACTTTTAGAGTTCTCTGCGAAGAAAACCGTATCATCAATGTAAAGAGGCAAAATTACTTTGAAATATTAAGTGATTTCATCATCTGCAGTTCTTAGTTTGATGCCATTGCAGAGAGAGAGAGAGAGAGAGAGAGAGAGAGAGAGAGAGAGAGAGAGAGAGAGAGAGAGAGAGAGAGAGAGAGAGAGAGAGAGAGAGAGAGAGAGAGAGAGAGAGAGAGTTTCAGTTCAAAGTATTGTACAAGGTCATTGAAATAGATAACAAATAAAACTGGTGATATATTATCAGCGCGAGGAACTCGTTGCTTGCAAGAAAAAAAACCTTAGAAACATTGACAATGACATTCTTACTAGATTTTCTGTCTGTTTACATATTGCAAATACCATTATAGAATTTTACCTTAACATAGCTTTTAAGGCATTATCCCCAATAATCATATTTTCCATATATTGTCACGAACTTATTCAAAATCAACAGATAGACAATATAATTTCTATTATTTGTCAATTTCACATGTTCTAGGAGATTATGTATTACAAAAATATGGATAATGATCTGATCTTAATCCAGTAATTGATTTATTTAAATCTAATACATCAGAATAATATGAATAATAGTCTTTGATTGATTCTGGACAATATTTAAAACATTTACTCTATCTGCAAATAAATCGAAGGTTGTGGTATAGTAATTTGAACGAAAAAAGTGAATGTATTTTCGATAATCATATTAGATTTTATATCACTAAGCAAATAATGTGCCTCCCAAAAGTTATATTATTATTATTATTATTATTATTATTATTATTATTATTATTATTATTATTATTATTATTATTATTATTATTATTATTATTATTATTATTATTATTATTATTATTATTATTATTATTATTATTATTATTATTATTATTATTATTATTTACTTTATATTGTTCTTAATGTGCAGATTTTAAAACCATATACAGACATTACAAATGTGATAATAATATTGATTGGTTAAGTAACAGATATATAAATGTAAGTAATTGTTTTTAAGAGCAAGGTTGTTTCTCTAATGTTAAACGTGCTAATTGGAAGACCGTACACAAATCTGTAATATTCGAAAATATATATTCTTTTACCCAAAATCATACTGAAATAAGAAATTAAATATATATACTATTTGTATTTATTAGATAGATAGACTGAGTGGCGCGGGATGTGTTTTTACCGATGTACAAAATGTAGGATATAACTATATCGTGTTTGTATCTATCTGATTTTCGGTGTAAATGTATTTTTATTCGTGGCTCTCAAATCTAGAATCACACTTCGAAACAACAAAAACACGAGAAGGAACATGATAGGTGAAATATTTTTTGGATTTAATTTGTTTAGTTGACCTTGTGTTTTAGATGTAAGTGAAAACTTTAATTAGGACGTAAAAGGAAAGATAACCATCGTTCAAACTACTAGTGAGACGGCTGCACGCTATTAGCTTACAAAAATAACGAAGAGAGATGAGTACAAATATGAACCAGTACGCTGAAAGGCGATGATAACATTGCCTTTAGCTATTATTGCGTGATTATTACGTGTGCCTCTTGCATCTAACGCCTGTGTCTAACAAAGGTGTCGAGAAAAACCATCAGTATAGTATTACGACGTTATTAACTTAACGATAGGCCTATGCCATGAAAGACAATGCCGGTCAACTAGTTATTTACCACATTTTCCACCATCTCTTGCATCCATCTATTCATTCTGTACTTTGATTCAGAAATTTAGATCCGCTTTTTACAGCATATTACTCAGTTGCAATATGCAGCTTTCAAGTATATGAACAATTTACCAGAAAGTTAATACAATATGAAAAAATAATTGGAAATTTAAATTGAGAAGGTGTATAGATGTGTTCAAGGAGTACTTTAAGTGGATGCACTGAAGTACTGTTGACTAATAAAAAAGCCCGTTGTTACATGGTACTGTAATATACTGGACGTCTTAAAAAAAGCATCCAATGGTGAACAAGGAATTCACCAATATCAGTATGACGCGCATGGCAAAATCAACGCATCGAAGAGCAAATTGGATTTTGCAACTAGCAAGGACTATTTTTCTGTTAGTTGTTAGGCTAGCAACAAATCGACGCCATTTTTACAATCTGTAAAGAAAAGCACGTTGTAATAAATATTAATACCCGAAAATATATAATGAATTAAAAATACATGTGAGTGCTAATTGTAATGTTGAGTTCTTATGTAAAATAAATACTCTATCAATATCGCTACCTTGTTTTGCGAACAATACTTTGGTGTATATTTAAGTTCTATACACAGTAGTAGTTCAAGCATTACTGTATTGACCGCTGCTATAGAACTTTACATGATTTGCTACTCTGAAAATAATAAAGCATAATGTTTTGATGATCAAAATATTTGCATTCAAAGGTAAAATGATTGACAGGAATAGCTCTCGTTCTACTATCATTGTCTGGTACATTAATGATCACCTATTCTTCAATCTTTTCCAGATATACCAGTCCGATCCCCTTGTTTTTATCATCATAAAAATAAGGTAACTGCATGTAATTCCTTTAAACCAAAATCCTTAACGTCCTGTAAGCTAGTCTATATTCATAAGTTTAAGTTTTTGGTGTTTCTGCGAACAGTTACATTTTCCAAGATCCTAATGTCTTCCAATTGAAAAGGCAACGTGATATTTCCACATAAACATGACAGTTCCTTGTGTCTTTACATTCTTGGTTCTTATTATAGACGAACTCCACAAACACATGCACCTTGCGACAAAGCAAAGTCAAGGTTTCTCTAATCCAGTCTTTGACAGCACACATCACTAAAATAAAAATCAAGCTCAAAGTTATTAAATTTGAAATCGAGTATTCCTTGTAGACACAAAAACGAACACGTCAAATCTTGTTTTCCACTAAAAATCACTTTTTAATAACTTTATAAATTTCTGAGAACCGAGAGGGGAAGTGGAAATTGCAATCGGTAGCTTAAGCTACGTTTTAAAACGATAATGGTTTGCAATATGTATCATCCTGACCATGAAACAAGAATGACAAGATTCTGAAAAGTGTTCTCTAACAAAAGATATTATAACATCTGACTTTAAGGATATCTAAATGTAACTCAAACAACCAACCAAATAAACATTATATATGGGAATACAAAATAAGAAAGAAAACTCAAAGCATATTAATGTTATGGTTAAAAAAGTACTTTATACCAACACGTAGTAAATGTACTCACAGCACTGATGTGTTTTTGTACACAATGAAGTCTTTTGCATATCTGGTAAAACTTAACACCGAATAAAATAAGTGTCTTATGTGTAAATTATACTTTGTTTCGGGGGTGGGGTTGATTGGTATAAAGTACACTCATTCAAGACATAATGAAGATTCTGCGCGTACAAGCATTCTTAAACGACAGGTGTCTTTCAAGATAGGTTCAGAAAGGTTTAAAGTGCTTTAATACGTAAACATATCAAAGTAAGAACATTCTACAACGCTTCTGCATGTTTAATAAATAAAATGTCCCTTAAAATAAATGTAAAAGAATCTTTAATTTTTATTTAATTTAAAATGGCTACTGATAAGTATTCTCTACTTTTTGTATGATAAGATGCCTCGGTTGTTTAACGGTTGTTAAAAGATTTTAATAATACGCTAGTAGATTTAGGTCTGTGTAATTTCTGTATGTTCTGTGCATGAATAATGGTACATGATAACTCAGATATTTTGTATTTGTGGTTCATTCCTTTACCAGTTGCTATTTTGGCAGTTACCCAGGTAATTTCCATTGTTAAAATTATAGCACCACACTGGGTTAGCAAGTTCTTTAATATTTGTAATTTGGCAGAGTTTTTAAAAGAGGAGGATTTGCAAACACTCAAAAGTAAACGAAAAATCTTATGAAATGTTTTTATTGTTTCGAGGTAACCATATACATCAGGAAAGCTTTTATACAATTGTTTGCATATATCACTTTATGTGGTATCCTCTGCAGACCGTTTAGATGGCGTCATCATTTACCAATTCGCTACGTTGTGGCTGTTTTGCATTTGTGACAAGCTTGAAAATTTTGAGAGTTTTACGCCATTTTAATAGTTTTAAGCATATAAAGGCAGATGTTTTGAGTTATAATTTTAAATGGTCAGCAGTGATTTCATGTGGTAAATGAAGTATGAGTTGCACGTTCACTTAATGATTTTCAATAAAAAATTACAAAACGATATAACAGGGATACAATTCTATTAATGACAACAAAATGAACTACTAGGAATTATAAATATTTCAAAAGCAAAATAGAATGATAAATTAGACAAAATTGTACCAAAACTTGAGTTACTTTATACTGATAAATTTATTGTACATGGAACATTAAAATAATGATGCATGTAATATTCGATCAGAAAGAAGACATTATTTTTCTGCCTTGGTCACACGATATCCAATGGATGGCAAGTGTTTTCCTCGTAATTAAAATATAAATTGCCACACATGGGGCGTTATGTTTTCTTATTGTTATTATTGCTATAGCCGTAATAATCCGTAGTTCAATAGATCAAATGGACTGAAAATTTATTTAATAGTAAGTTATGAATTTTCAGACTTTTGGTGGTGGAATTTTTTTCCTTCAATTCCTATATGATTTCGTGAAGTCTTTATGCATTGTGAAATAAAGACTATTAAAAATGGAATCAGTTAAACTTTAGAAGTGGGGTTGATGTGTTTTAAGATTAACTCATGAGTTTAACTAAACTTTCAAATTATTGTACTGCTCACATTATTTGAATAAAAGATTTTTTATAAAGTTCGCTACGAAATCCACATATAGTTAATACTTGCACATAGCAAATATGTAACTATTTTGATTACACTTTCTTCACAATTTCGATTACAATATTAAAAGATATTATAATATTAGGTAAAAGATAAATAGGTAATAATGAAACAAGCTGTCTTTTTTATTTTTGTTGTACATATATATTAACATCAAATTAACAATGCCCACCGTGCATTTGATAAATTGTGTTTCCAGGTCCTCATGAAATGGTATACGTGTATTTTGAGAAGCCCATCCAAAGTAATTGCAGGTGTGTGACACTAAAAAGACTTTACAATTTTAGGTGAAAAGGTGAAATGAATATCTGTTATAAAAATACTCGAGAACTCTTGTGCTTTTCACCAAAATAAACCCATGTTTGCTAATTCTAATTAAGTCTTGCGACGATTTCCTACTACTCCAATAACACATTTTATGTGTCAAGTTGAACAAATAATCGATGGGAGGTTAGAGGTATACAAATATGAAATACTTAATTGAAATCAACTCAAATATGAGCCTGTATAATGATATTTAACGGCACGGTGTTTGTAGTTTTTATAATCTAGCAATGTGGAGTAGGATGCGATACGTATGAAGGTAAGACAGCATTACAACATACAAATCGGTGACAAGATAACAAAAGATTTGGACCTGACATTAAACAGCTCAACAAGGATTGGCACTTAAAGCGAGTAATTGGTAGCTAGGTTATTGTTTGTGGCCTCGAATAAATATTTGTCATCCCCTTTAACACGACCCAACTCTATCTATGTCCTTTGCCACACAGGGAAGTTAGTTCAAACTCTCTCTCTCTCTCTCTCTCTCTCTCTCTCTCTCTCTCTCTCTCTCTCTCTCTCTCTCTCTCTCTCTCTCTCTCTCTCTCTCATTATTATTATTATTATTATTATTATTATTATTATTATTATTATTATTATTATTATTATTATTATTATTATTATTATTATTATTATTATTATTATTATTAAACGGTCTGGTGGCCTAGTGGTTAGAATGTCCGCCTCGAATGCGGGAGGTCGTGAGTTCGAACCCCGGCCGAGTCATACCAAAGACTTACAAAATTGGTACAAACAGCCCTCGTTATGCGCTGGAACGGTCGGCCTGGTGTCAGGATAATGTGACTGGGTGGGATATCATGCCACATGTCTGAGGCATGATGCCCCAGTGCTAGACATCAATATTAGCTGCCACACTGCATACATCGTAGCGATATGACTGAAAAATTTTAAAGCTAAGTTAAAAATCATAATCAAACACGTTATTATTATTATTATTATTATTATTATTATTATTATTATTATTATTATTATTATTATTATTATTATTATTATTATTATTATTATTATTATTATTATTATTACATACACGAACGTAAGAATCTGGAGTTTTTCGAGAAACAACACCACACGTTCAATGTCAATAAGTTTTCTTTTGATTGTACTCTATGTGCTTGAAGAATTTGTTATCATTTATAACAACGACGTGAAGAAAATATGTTACTGTCTCCTTGTTTTTAAGTCAATTGATAGTAATAGTAAAACTATTTATGGCAAAGTTAATACAGAAAACAATGTCTTAAAAAAATTCAGCTAATTGAAAATATCATGAAAACAAAAATGGACAATTTGATTAATAGTAAAAGAACTCAGCAATAACACATTCTTGACCTCTTGCTTCTCCTCGTTTTCGTTGTTGCAGTTGTACTAATTTAATATCCATCAGTTTCGTTTCGTTGCTTATAAATCAAATCAAACTGCAAACAACAACGATTCTGATCTGCCGTAGCATAATGTGCATGCTAATCATAGTCAACGTTGTTTGTTCTACAGATTACTCACAACAATCTGTCCAGACCCAGATCTACCTGTAATCAAGGATACCATTTATTGACTTACCTTCAGTTATTTCTCCTTCCATCTTCTAACAAGGCATTACTAAACCTCGCTAATTAAAACTGAAAAATCTCTGAATCTTATTTCGACACTCTATTTTAACTCGATACATGTGTTATTTGTAACGACACTATATTTTAACTCGATAATGTATTATTTGTAACGACACTATATTTTAACTCGATATAGGTGTTATTTGTAACGACACTATATTTTAACTCGATATAGGTGTTATATATGCTGAAGTACAAGTAATATTTGTTACATATATCTCTTCTGCGTAGCTGACTATCATTGCCAGTTTGGCTTTTAAAATCTGGAACGATCTCTTCAAATTTGTTCTTGCTATAGAGATAAATAATGTCTGAGCTATCAGTTCATACTACATTTTTCTGCCTGAAACTTTATAACATTCTGGTCTTTATTTTATTTTAAATATCTAACCATTTGAAACAATAATATAGGAATATTAAGTTGTTCTTTTCCATAGCTTGTAATGTTTACTTAGAGTGGTTTTAATCAGAAAACTTTGTAATGTTTTGAGAATATTTGACATGGGACTATTAATTTGCGGCTGTTGTTCTTTTCCATAGCTTGTATTGTTTACTTAGAGTGGTTTTAATCAGAAAACTTTGTAATGTTTTGAGAATATTTGACATGGGACTATTAATTTGCTGCTCTGGTACGGTAAGAGTAATCTCCCCGTGACCGTCCGTTCAGCAGATATGTTACTTCGTCGTTCAGTTGGTAGAACGTCAGACTCTTAATTTAAGAGTTGTTGGTTCGATACATGTCCTGGTCAACCCAGATAAAAACACTGTTCTATTTTCTGTGGCACGATATAGACAATTGATGTGGTTAATTATACCGTTAGACCACTACAGTCAGCAACAAAATTAAATCGTCTATTTGACTGCAATCAAAGAACAAGAAGTGTATCGATAGATTTTAAAGGATTATTGAAATTTACAAATATATTTTGGTGACATACACTATGGTAAGTGTAATAAACAATATCTTTCTTATAAATTACATCTTCACAAGATTTGTCAGATGGCTCTAGAAGTGTACATTGTAAAAAAAAATTTATTATTCATAAAATAAGTTTCAATGCACTTTTCCCAAAAATATTTAAGTAAATACGTTTACTGACTGAATTTGTAAAACTAGTGGAAATATATTTTTTCTTCTTCTTCTTGTTAGCAGTAGTAGTAGTAGTAGTAGATTAGTAGTAGTAGTAGTAGTAGTAGTAGTAGTAGTAGTAATAGTAGTAGTTGTTGTTGTTGTTGTAGTTGTTGTTGTATCTGCTCTTTTGGAGTTTGTAGTAATCTAAGTTGGTGTGCAGTTTCCCGTGTATCAGGTATAACTAAACTTTATTTACATGAGTTGTTCAAGTAGCCAAGTGGGTCGTCCATTTTTAGAAACCATTCAACCATAGACTCTTTATTGTATTGACAATAAATTTCAGTTTTTAAAGGAGATACCAAACTGGGTTGGCAAATTGTGCTAAATATGTCATTTGCCGAGTCTATTGAAAGGGGAGGAGTCGATAATACTCGAAAATAAATGACAAAAAGTTGAAAATCTGATTAAGTGCCATATAACTGTCTTGAGCTAACCATAAATCAACGACGACTTTTGTGCGGTTGTTTGCCTGTGTCACTTTTTTGTACCCCATGCAGACAAATAAAACAAACAGACCATATCCCCATATGTTTATTGTGTCGCCCTCTTGCTCTCATTACAAACTGAACATTTTCATCGTTCTCGAGTATGAGAGGGCAGATTTCTGGCTGTCTAATTTGAAAGGCCATGCAGTGCTTTTGTACGGTTTAACTAAGTCCATGGTTTACGTCCCAGGCTTGAGTTACGAGAGATGATTATGAAACAGTATGCTGAAAGTGTAAAGCCATCAAACTACACGTTCCCTATTTTGAAAGTAAATTATCTGCGATGCAGACAAATGGTTGGAATAAAAATAAAAACGGTATCAATAACATTGCAATTCATATTGGCCCCAATATAATAACCTGTAAATGGTACAAGTTTTCTTTCTGTACCGTTCCACACAATATGCCCTTCTTTTTTCCAATCTTAGATTGACTTAATAGACATTATTGATGTTCAGAAACGCATGAAATTCTATTCTAAATTTTCTCTTTACATTAGGTTTCAGGGATAATACTATACATTACTGAATCATAATTTGTAGTCTGATTAGCTGTTTTATCGAAGTTTTCTTTCCATTCTACTAATGCTCCAGTGTAAACGAGGACTAAGTTTTATTTCTCCATGTACCACATGGGTACTTTTAAAATAGTCACTCTAACTCGATTTCTGAAATGTCTTCAACAAGATAACAAGGTATCAATTCAAAAAAGATATTTATAAGTGTAAATTTTTAAATGAATGTTTCATATTCAGTTAAGTAGATAAATTTAATTTAGAATAGCAATTGAAAATTAGCAACTCAACTTCTAAATAATTTCAAAATAAATTTCCAATTCTGAAATGAGGGGATTCAGATTTGTTAAATACAGTTTCTGCGAATTTAAGTATATTTATATTTTTATTTATGTCTAACGATAGTCCGAACAAGTACACAGACGAAAATATGAAAAACTTAGTTTCCAAACTTTGTTAATGATTACATTATAAAAACTGTACACAGTTGCAGCAACAACAATTAGGAGCTACACAAAACAACAATGTAAAGTAATGGCATGAATTCCAGTAATAAACCATGTTGCGATGAAAGAGATTATGTTTGTTTTACACGATTTAAAGAAATAGTTTTTCGCATAGCCGTCTTCATTTATATTCCTTCGTTCTAAAAACAATTCACAAGCCCTGATTGGGTTTGAAAATTTTCTGTGTCAAAGTTCTCGTCTTCTTGGAATGTTCACAGTCATTGTTAGACAGTGTTTCTGAAAAAAAAAAAACAACCATAAGGATTCAATCAGTGGAGACTCTAAAATGGATCATTATAAAGTTCATTATGAACAAATTATGTTAGCGTTATTCCAAAAAATAGTAAGCGTTGAAATTTGTCGCATTATGATTAATTCTGTATTTTTCTATCGTTATGTCTTTGATTCCAACAGACCCTCATCAGAGATGATTGTAAAAATTATTTTTCCCTTCTTGTCAATTATTTTTAATATGAATATTGGAAGGCTTACTATAATTGATAATAAATAAAAGCAATTGTCAGAAAAAGCTGAAAAATTACTATATGTATTTTATTTTAAAATTTTCTTCGTAAATACTTTTTGCTCAACAAATGATTTCTCGGATTAAATCAGTAAACATAGCTAAGCTAATTCCGATGTCCAAATTGTTACGTGACAAGGGTTCGTACTCAGTAACAAAGGAAAGAGTGAAAGCCAAAAAGCTTTGTAAATTTTAGCAAAACAATTTATTTCCCTAGACAGCAATGTAAAAATTGGTAAATAGGACTTAATTCAAATATGATTATAAGAATAAAAACACAAGTCTTTTCACTAAATTGTCCTATAAGAATCCAGGTTCGAGTCCCGACGACGTACGAATATGGAGGGCGATGATGTCAGATGTAGTCCAATGCATGAATATCAACAATTCCTCACTTGAAACACAATCTTTGCTTCCGAAAAATTCCAGAATAAATTTACATGAATATCTTTCAGAATTTTTTAATAAGAAAGTCAACTTGTTGAGTGTCCAAGAGAATAATGTATTGAATCCAAAAATCAGACGAATAATACAATATTCTGGCAACAAATTTAAAATAAATACACATTGTTCTTTCAAGGTTTTGAATGACTGCCCAAAATAATATTAAGAATGCGTATTTAAACTGAAGACATCACTTCAAATCTCGCGAGATTGGTCATGTGGTCTATCATTACGCTAAAATTTACACGTAGGCTAATGTCACTCAACTTTAAAAAAAACAATCATGAAAAAGGCTGTTAACAATTATTGATCACGTGAAGAAAGTATGATGCTGACCAATCATTTTAACCTCCTGTTGATTTTGTTACCAAGGTAAGACGGACTCAATGTCAATTCTCACGTATTACTATTTCGTCTTAAGTAAACAACTTTGTGATAAAAATGTATTTCACTAATAAAAATATAATCCCGATTCCGAGAAACAATATTCATTG